ATGATGATGATGATGATGTCGATCATGATGATGATGATGATGATGATGATGCTGATGATGATGATGCTGATGATGATGATGATGCTGATGCTGATGCTGATGCTGATGATGCTGATGCTGATGCTGATGCTGCTGATGATGATGACTACGATGCTGATGATGATGATGATGATGATGATGATGATGATGCTGATACTGATGATGATGATGATGCTGATGATGATGCTGCTGGATGATGATGATGATGATGATGGATGATGATGATGATGATGATGATGATGATGATGATGATGATGATGCTGATGATGCTGAGAGGATGATGATGATGATGATGATGAGAGGAGGAGGAGGAGGAGAGGAGGAGGAGGAGAGGAGGAGGAGGACGAGGAGGAGGAGGAGGAGGAAGAGGAGGAGGAGGAGGAAGAGGATGAGGATGAGGATGAGGATGAGGATGAGGATGAGGATGAGGATGATGAGGAGGAGGAGGAGGAGGCGGTGGAGGAGGAGGAGCATGACGAGGAGGTGGAGGAGGAGGGAGGCGGAGGAGGAGGAGGAGGAGGAGGAGGAGGAGGAGGAGGAGGAGGAGGAGGAGGAGAAGGGGCGGAGGAGGAGGCGGAGGAGGAGGACGAGGAGCAGGATGAGGAGGAGACGGAGCAGGAGCAGGAGGAGCAGGCAGAGCAGGAGGAGCAGGAGGAGCAAGAGGAGCAGGAGGAGCAGGAACAGCAGGAGGAGGAGGAGCAGGACGAGGAGGGGGAGGAGGAGGAGGAGCAGGAGGAAGAGGAGTGGGAGGAGGAGGAGGCGGGGGAGGAGGATGAGGAGGATGACGGAGGAGGAGCAGGAGGAGGAGGAGGAGGAGGAGGATGCGGAGGAGGAGGAGAGGCGGAGGGGGGGGGAGGAGGAGGAGAAGGAGGAGGAGGAGGAGGAGGAGGTGGTGGAGGAAGAGGAGGAGAAGGTGGAGGAGGATGAGGAGGAGCAGGAGGAGGAGGAGGAGGAAGCGGAGGAGGATGAAGCAGAATAAGCAGACGAACCATACTACGAAGACGACCAATAATGATACGAGTCATGCGACACATACTGATACTACTAGTACTATTAATAATACCAATCAGACTCATACTACGAATACTACTTTAACGAGTCATACTCATACTAAGAAGCATACGACTAATCATTGAGCGATAAATAATAATCACCGTGTTAGTTCGAACCATAATACCAAGACTAATATCAACAAGAAGACGAACACTAGTAAGGCGACGAATCCTACGACTAATAAGGAGACTACGAATACGAATACGCCGAATACTATACATACTCATAGTACGAACAAGAATAGCCATATTACTACTAATAAAAATACGAAGATCATACGAAGGATGTGAATGATATGCAAAATAATACTAAAACTATGCATCTTACTAATAGTAAGAAGAATCAGACGAAGACGACGACTCCGAATAAGCATACGTATACTACTAATGATAACAAGAATAAGAAGACGCCGAATAATAATACGAAGAAGAAGAGGATGATGAGGAGCACGAGGAGGAGGAGCAGGAGGAGGAGGAGGAAGAGGAGGAGGATGATGTGATGGTGACGCTTGTGATGATGGTGATGCTGATGATGATGATGATGCTGCTGCTGATGATGATTATGCTGATAAGGGTGATGATGATTATGACGCTGCTGATGATGATGCTGATGGTGATGCTGATAATGATGATGATGATGATTATGATGATGATGATGATGATGATGATGATGATGATGATGACGCTGATGATGATGATGATGATGATGATGATGATGATGATGATGATGATGATGATGTCGATGATGATGCTGATGATGACGATGATGGTCTAAACCCATGACTCACAAACGATGTTGGAATAAACCCTCCCTCCGAATTCTTCCTCACAGGCCCCTACAAGGATTCATTTCCACTGAGGGACGTGCCCGTTGGAGACAACCGTTTGAAGATCCTGAGGCGTGCCAGAACACCGTTCTCGGGACTCCAGCGCCTCGAATCAGCCTGACTGCTGTGTCTTGACGACCCATGATCGTGCCAGAACACCATTCCTGGGCTTTCAACAATGCGAATCGACCTGACTGTTGCGCCCTTACAGTTCTGAATCGCTCCAAAACGTCATTTCTGGTACGCTGACCATGGGAATCTGTGAAACTCCTTGCTTTTCTTAAGACGAGTCTGCTCGGCGCTAAGGCGAGAGCCACATCTTGAAGATGAACCTGCCTCGATCCGTGAAGCTCCTGCAAATTTTGAAGACTAGTATGGGCGGCGCCTTAGGCGTGAACCACAGCTTGAAGATGGACCACCCTCAATTCGTGAAGCTCTTGCAACTTTGGAAGACGACTGTTCGTGGCTCTGAGGCGAGAGCCACATTTCGAGTCCCCCCCGCCCTCAATCGGTTACACTCTTTGCATTTTGTAAGGCGAGTGTGCGCGGCTCTAAGGCGAGAGCCACACTGAAAATGACCCGTCTTCTGTCCGTAGCCCTTGCGTTGTTTAAAACGAATGTGCGCTGCACTCAGGCGAGAGCCACATGCTGAAAACCAGCCGCCCTCCAACAGTGAAGCTGTTGCCATGTGCTAAGCTTGCCGGTCATACATGGTGAGTAAGTCTCAGGTGAAATTCTTGGCCCGCCCTTTTGACTGGCCTCGAGGTGCTGCAGGGAGGAGTTACTTAAAAAGAACGAGGAGGACGTGGAGGAGGAAGAGAAGGGGGAGGGACGACGAGGACGAGGAGGAGGAGAACGAGGAGGAGGAGAGAAGGGGGAGGGAGAGGGGGAAGTAGGTAGGCAGGTGTGCTCCCATTGAGCTGGCTTGCGGAAACTTCGAACGCAGCTTCCTTTCAGCAAGGGGCCACGACCTCTGGGAGGGCTCGGAAGCGGGTGTGCTGCGATGGCTTTGGAAGGCCGACCGCCAGCGCTGGAGGGGAAGGAAGGGAGGACTTGCAGAGTTGAGCTCTTCCGGAGGACAAGGCGGAGTTCGTGGGTCGGCTCTTGGACCCCTCACCTGGCGCGCGAAACGAACTAGGGGCGGCGCAAAGGGCGCCGCCAGGGGGTCCAGTTCCAATCCTAAACAAATCCATTTGACACCTCGCGAAACATCAGCTCATCAAGCAGGCTCCTCCTCGAGACCCCAGCCAGAGCGAAGCAGGAGACAGCTTACGTAGAGACTCCCTGCGTTGTGGGAGGGGGGGCCAGGCAGGGAGCACCTGCCTGGGGCTCATTCGATCCCCACTACAGTCTAAGTCCATGCCAAGAAAAATCCTGCTTGCCTAAAGGGTTCCCTGGGTTTCTTGGGTTTCGATGGTTTTGCGATGGGAGGCGTGACGTTCCCACACCAAAATCGATGGACGTCCTGTGGTCTCAGGGTTGGGTTTCTTGCGGAAGGTTTCTTGTGGACTGGCCTCCATTGTACGCTGCCTGATCGACGTACCCCGCAGATACGGGACGGTGACGAGAAGAGGGAGAGGAAGCCACCCCAGAGGGGGCGAGGGAGGGAGAGGGAGGACAAGCCGAACAAAGTAGGCCCAGCCCAGCCCGACCCGACAACGTGGGGAGGGAGGGAGGGAAGGAGGGAGGGGAGGTGAGCGGGGGATTGTTTCTGCCGGCCTCTTGGATCCCTCTGGGGACTCTTTTGAAGGATCGTGGGGGTCCTCTTGGGGCTCTTTTGGGGGGTTCGTGGTACCCTCTTCGGACCGTCTTGGAGCCCTCCTGGGGGTCTCTTTGGAGCCCTGGAGGGCCTCTTGGGGCCGTCTTGGAGGCCATTGATCAGAAGGGGAGGTGAGCGGGAGATTGGAGGCTCGGAGAGGGCCTTGAGGCGGAGGAGGAGGGCGAGGAGGAGGAGGAGGGCGAGGAGGAGGAGGAGGGCGAGCAAGACGAGGAGGAGTAAGAGGAGGAGGGGAGGGGCGAGGAGGATGATGTGGTGACGATGATGATGCTGCTGATACTGATGCTGATGCTGATGCTGATGCTGATGCTGATGATACAGATGATGATGCTGGTGATGCCGATAATGAGGATACTGATGATGCTGATGATGCTGCTGAGCATGATGATGATGCTGCTGCTGATGATGATGATGATGCTTCCGCTGATTAAGGTGATGATGCTGATGACGATGATGATGGTGGTGGTGATGATGATGATGAGGGGCGTGGACGAGGATGTGGTGGTGACGATGATGATGATGCTGCTGCTGACGATGTTGATTGTGATCATGATGCTGATGATGATGGTGATGACGGTGACGATGGTGAGTGATGGTGATGGTGTCGGTGATGATGCTGACGATGATGACGCTGGTGATGATGATCATGGTGATGATGATGATGATGATGATGATGATGATGATGATGATGATGATGATGATGATGATGATGATGATGATGATGGGCTAATGCTGATTATGATGATGCTGCTGCCGAGGACGATGCTGATGATGCTGATGATGCTGATACTGATGATGATGATGCTGATAATGATGATGATGCTGATACTGATGATGATGCTGATGATGAGGACGTTGATTACGATGATGACGCTGATGATGACAATGATGTTGATGCTGCTGCTGCTGATGATGATGATGATGATGATGATGATGATGATGATTGTGGTGGCGATGCTGATGATGACGATGATCATGATGATGCTGATGATGATGATGATGGTGGTTGTGGTGGTGATCATGATGATGATGATGATGATGATGATGATGATGATGATGATGATGATGATGATGATGAGGATGATGATGATGATGATGATGATGATGATGATGATGAATCTTATTATGATGATGCTTGGCCGAGCGAGCAGGAGGAGGAGGAGGAGGAAGAGGAGGAGAAAGAGGAGGAAGAGGAGGAGGAGGAGGAGGAGGAGGACCAGCTTAACCCAAGAGGCACCCACGATGATGCAATAAGTCCTTCCTCCAAGTTCCGGCTTCACACGTCATTGCAATAATGCATTCTTCATGCTTCGCGTATGCCTCAGTGTGTGGTATGTGTAAGCATGACTTGCTGGCTGGGTTTTGGTGTGGGCCAGTATGATGTTGTATGGCCGGGTTCCGGCTGGACTGGCCCGTCTGGCGTGTCCAGCCGAGCTTGTTCTGGTCTGGCCCGTTCCGTCAGTCTGGTCTCGTGTGGTATGTCCCGTCCGTGCGGTCGTTTCGGTACCTCGTCGTCGCCGCGGCTCAGGCCAGTTTGCCAAACCATTTCGCAGGTCGTGTCCTCCCGCCCCTTCAGATCCTCCGCCTCGGCATCATGGCGGCGGTGGCGGCGCCTGCCCTGTCGGACTTCGTGATCTGCGGCGCGGGGTCGCTGGGCCCCGGGGCAGACGGCAGCAAGGGGTACCTCTTCGTCGGGGACAGCGACGCAGTCGGCCCGGCCAAGGAGGCGCTCGCCGCGGACGTGCCGTACCTCGCCGTGCCGATGATCGCGAACAAGCTCACCCAGGCTGTGCGGAAAGAACTCCTGAGGAGGAAAAGATTTCGATACCGCTACCCTTCCCTCGTTTTCGTATTTTTGGGCCTCCTGGGAGGCTCTCGTCGCCACGCCCGGGTTCGCCTCGAAGTTCTGCTCAGAGCGCACCCTGGGACGGGTCCAGGGAGTAGCGGTATGGGTATAGTGTGGTCTCCCCAAGAGTTCTGCACACGCGCCAGTCCCGTCCAGGCCCATGCTGGGTCCAGGTTGGGTGCACATAGGAGCGACGGAAGCAGGCGAGGTGGTCTGCGCGGACGTTCCGGCGTCAGCTGCCCGCGCGAGGCCGCGCACGAGCGTCCTCGATTCCATTGTGGCGTTCCCCCCTGGCGGCCAGCGTAAGCCACCGCGTGTGGTCGCCGTGTTGTCTCACGTAAGACTTGATCCTCTTCGTCGCTCCCGTGCCTCCATTCCTAGGCCTCCTCAATGGGGTCGGAGTAGATGGGGTCGGAGGATCGCGCCGCATCGCCGATGCATTGGCGTTGCGTCGGCGATTCGTCTCGATGAAGGGCCCACTTTTCTCCATGCCGACGTCGCCGATGCATCGCCGATGCATCGGTGATGCATCGCCGATGCATCGGTGATGCGGCGCGATCCTCCGACCCCATCTACTCGGACCCCATCTAGGAGGCCTCTATCCATGGCCAAGACAGGAGGGCGTGCGTACCCATCCTGGGTGGGTGGTCCTGGCCAGCAGCGGCGACGCAGAAAAACCTGGGCGTCCTCGCCGATATTGGTGCGTAAGCAGCCCGCGCAAGGTCGCGAGTTAAGCGCCCTCGCTTCCAGCGTAGCGTGCCGCGCTGGCGGCCCGCATAAGCCGCCGTGTAAGGTCGCCCAAGATCCGTTGTTGATCGTCGCTCGTTTCAATCTCAGGGCTGGACCTCAACGCTGTTTTGCTGGACTCCGGCTGTGTCTTGTTTTCCGTTTTGGTAGAGGGGGTGCGGGACAGCGGGTAGATCAAGACGAGCAACGAAACGAAACCACAGCGGAAAGCAGCGTTTAGGCCCAGCCCCTGCTCCTTCTCATGATGATGATGATGATGATGATGATGATGATGATGATGATGATGATGATGATGATGATGATGATGATGCTGATGCTGATGCTGATGCTGATGATGATGATGATGATGATGATGATGATGACGATGATGATGATGATGATGATGATGATGATGATGATGATGATGATGATGATGATGATGATGATGATGATGATGATGAGGATGAGGATGAGGACGAGGAGGAGGAGGAGGAGGAGCAGGAGGAGGAGGAGGAGGAGGAGGAGGAGGGGGTGGAGGAGGGGAGGAGGAGAAAGAGGAGGAGGAGGAGTGGAGGAGTTGGAGGAGGAGGAGGAGGAGGAGGAGGAGGTGGAGGGAGGAGGAGGAGGAGGAGGCGGAGGAGGAGGAGGAGGAGGAGGAGGAGGAGGAGGAGGAGGAGGAGCTCCGTCCTCCGCCAGGACGACGCCGACGCCGTCGTGGGCGCCCTCGCGGCGCTGCCTCGCCCGACCACGGTGCAGTGCGCCAGCGGCGCGCGGGCCGGCGCCGCGGTCGCGCTCTACCTCGGCGCGGTGCGGGGCCAGAGCGGCGACGAGGCGCGGCGGCGGACATCCGGGCCCTGCCCTTCGTCGGTCGAGGGTTCGGGCAGCTCGAGGTGCTGGGCAGACTTTCCACCAACACCAGATGCAGGACGGGGGAGAAGGGAGGATGAGGATGTCCGCCTCCTCCTCCTCCTCCTCCTCCTCCTCCTCCTCCTCCCTCTCCTTCATGTGGTAGTGGTGGTGGAAAGTGGGCCCGTCACGAGAGACGACAGAGCAGGGCTCGGGGATTCGTCGAGCACGCGAGCGACGCAGAAAAACGGGGGCGTCCTCGCCGACATTGGTGCGTAAGCAGCCCGCGCAAGGTCGCGAGTTAAGCGCCCTCGCTTCCAGCGTAGCGTGCCGCGCTGGCGGCCCGTAATCCGTTGCGCCAGGTCGCTATGTCATCTCGCGTAAGGTCCGTTTCTGATCGTCGCGCACGTGGCGGAATCCGAACCCTGCCCCCGCCGCCCATCGATTCAGGAAATCAATGGCTGCTGGGGGTGCAGTTGAAGCGCATAGGAAGCACGAGTGGCCCTCGAAGGTCATCGTCGCTCTTGCATCATTGCCCCGTCGGCCCATCCCTGGCACCTTTCGTTGGCCAGCTCATGAGGGCACCCTCCCTCGCTCTTTCGGCCGCGCCCCGTTCCACACATGTCAACAGCCTCCGAGGCCCTTGCATCCTTGCCTCGCACGCTCACTGCGCGTTGTGACTGTGGGGCCCAGATGCCGCCACCTGGAGGCGTGGGCGGAGGCAGAGGCGCAAGGGATGAGGTGCTGCACTGTGCCACACGCGGGCGCGTTCCGGGCGTGGCTGCAGAGCTCCCTGCCCGCCGCGGCTGGCGCGCCACTATTTCTGCAGCTGTTCGACCGGGAGTTCCAGAGCTCCACGCTTAGATGATCTCCAGAACGCGGGGGGCGTGCTTTCCTCCTTGTGCCGAGTCTTCACGTCTGAGTGGGTCTCCTCCTCCTCTGGTCCTCCGCGCGGCCACCCCCCAGTTCTTTTTCAGCCTTTTGCACGCCGGTCAATGCGCCTTTCGGTCGCCCCAAATCGCCACTCGCTGGAGCAGCTTCTTTGCCTCGCCGCCGACGGAACAAGTTTTCCTTCTTCCGTTTGGAAGGAGGAGGAGGAGGAGGAGGAGGAGGAGGAGGAGGAGGAGGAGGAGGAGGGGGGGAGGAGGATGCGGAGGAGGAGGAGGAGGAGGATGAGGAGGAGAAGGAGGAGGAGGAGAAGGATCGACGTTGTTTCGTTTTGGACGCAGTTTGTGTTACGTTTTCGGGTCTGGGATCGGCCCGTCGCCCACCTGCCCGCTATCTGTGGTTTTCCATGCGGCTTTGGATGCGTCTCGAGATGTCACAGAGCCGCCAGCCTGACGTCCACTCTCTGGGGTGTCGCTTTGAGAACACTCTGGTCGAGTCAAAGGCGAAAGGTGGAACAAGGGGGTTAAAGCACGCCACCAGCGCTTTTCATAACAACCAAGGCTCCACGTACACGTACCTGCTCGCCGACCGCACCACGATGGAGGCTCGGAAGAGGGCATGGTGCGAAGATTTCGGTAGCAAATCATGGGAGCCTCGTGTACCCTCGTAGTTCCGTCTTTAGGGTGCGTCCGCGTCGAAAAGCGTCTGGTACTCGATGAGACAGCGCCGACTTAGCGTCGATAAGCGACGATTGGTATCGATCAGCGTCGATTCGCAAGAGCCAACACGATGGTATAGGAGGCTCCCGTGATTTGCCATTGTACTTGCTCGCCGACCGCGCCACGATGGAGTGTCGGAGGAGGGCACGATGCCGACGCCGCTGCCCCTCCCTCGTCACCACGACTGTGTTCGCCTCGGAGTTCTCGTCAGAGCGCACCCCGGGAGAGGTCCGTGCCGCAGCGGCATCAGTATCCTCCTGCTCCCTAAGAGGCGGTGATCATCGACCCGGTGCTGGAGCACGCAGAAAGGGACGCGTCGCACGTCCGGCGGCTGGGCCTCACGCTCAAGCTCGCCCTCAACACGCACTGCCACGCCGACCACATCACGGGCACGGGTGCCCTGAAGGCGCTGCTGCCGGGTGTCCAGAGCGTCATCGCCGAGGCTCACGAGCGGTGACCACGTCCGTATCTGCGCCCCTCGCGGTCTGAGTCCGCGGACGCGCGGTCGCGCGGCGTCGTTCCGCGCGAGGCGTCCGCCACGGTGCGCCCCTTCACCCGCAGGGCCGCGGCCCGGGGGACTCGGCCCGCGGGGCCGCGGAGACGGACGTGCGTCGTCGCCCACGCGAGGCGGCGGGCGCCAAGGCCGACGTGCTCTGCAAGCCTGGCGAGGTCTTCACCTTCGGCAGCCACGCGCTGGAGGTCCGCGCGACGCCGGGGCACACGAGCGGCTGCGTGACGTACGTCCTGAACGGGACGAAGGCGTTCACGGGAGACGCGCTGCTCGTGGGCGGCTGCGGGCGCACCGACTTTCAGCAGGGCGACTGCTCGGTGCTGTACAACAGCGTGCACACGCAGATCTTCACCCTGGACGGTGCGGTCAAGATCTACCCCGCGCACGACTACAAGGGCCGGACGGTGTCCACGGTGGCAGAGGACCGGGTACGATTGAAATGGGAGCAGAAATAAGGTGTACGAAGACCAATAGCGGTGCCCGTCCATTTGAGCAGGACTCACTTTCGGCGTCGCCGCGGACATTGTCCATTTGAGGCAAAAGGCCGCGAGTCCAACAGCGGCCGCTGGCGGTTTGGGACAACATATGCTGTTGTGCATCGTACCCGTTTTTCCCGTGCCCACTTCGGGCGTGCTGAGAGGAGAAGGCGGGGAACCCGCGCCTGACGCTCCCGGCGCCGGAGTTCTGCAAGCTCATGGCGGAGCTCGGCCTGCCGTACCCGAAGAAGATTGACGCCTCGCTGCCCGCCAACCTGAAGTGCGGCATCCAGGACTGAGGCCGTTCGCGCCGAGGGCCCGCGGGGCAAGGGACGGAGCAGAAGCACAAGTCAGGAGGGGAAAACACGCACAGACACAATTCATCGTCGATTCCCCAGGAAGTATTGGGAAACGATGGGGAGCGGGGGGGGGAAGGCAAACGCCCAAGAGACGAACGGGAAACTAGGGAGAATCCTGGTACTGATGCCGATTTATTTGTGTGTGTGTGTGCGTGTGTGTGCATGCGGTCGGCTGTCGACAGTGACAGCTGGATTCGCAAATTATCTGGCTCTGTGCCCCAGTCAGCCCGATTGACACGCCCTCTGGACTCTTCCTTGCGGGCCGCAGATCAAAAGTGTGTGTGTGTGTGCTCGGTGCTCGGAGGTAGCCCCGATTCCTCGGGGCGGTGCCGGGCCCCCCTCAGGCACGCGCCGCGGGCCAGGGGGAGGGGATCCGGCGCCGAGCCAAGAAGAAAGGGGCCAAAGGGCACACACACACACACATAAGTGCGCACAAGTCCCAGGGTTTCCCATATTTTCCTACATGTGCCGGGTCTTCGTCTTCACCTTCGCTTCCCACACTTTCCCATGTCTTCCCGGGGATCGACGATTGATTGTGGCTGTGTGTTTCTTCCCCTCTTGAAAGACGTCCGCGCGGGCATCCGGGAGTTTTTATGACACTGCCCACCAAGCCGCCCCAACCCAGCCCGAAGGCTCCGATTTGCCCTCCATCTCCAGTGGGTGGGGGGGATCGGGGAACATTGAGAAAACACATCTTCAGCCCGTACCCCCCCAACCCGAAATTCTCTTCGGGTTGGGTTGGGATGGTCTGGTAGGTAGTCATTCTTTGAATGCCTGTTTTTTTTGCGGCCCTAAGAGCAGCTCCAAGACAGGGGGTCGCTCTGCTGGAGGCATTGGGGCCGATTGGTTGTGAGAGGGTCGGGTACCGAGAGGGTGCCCGCCCCGAGAAGTATATTTTGAAGAAGTCTGCGCCCCTTCACTCGACCATAGCGCTCGCAGTGCAGCAGTCCAGCGTCCTATTCGGAGGAGGAAGAGGCACGGATACCGTTAAATCGGGCCTGTCCCTTTGCAGGAGGAATGTTCAAGCATAGTCAAACGACTTTTGTCGACTGTCTTTTGTTGCCACTATGTTGAAGGAGTTCCCTTGCAGAATCCGCCTGTAGGAGGACATGCCTGACCCAACGGTACTGCTACCCGTCCTTCGTTTTGACCTTCTTGGGCCTTCTGGGAGGCTCTCGTCGCCGCCGCTGGAGTCGCATCAAAATCCTGGTCAGAACGCACCCCCGGAGAGGTCCGTGGAGTACAGTCGGGGCCCTGAAGAAGGAACCCTTTTCGTTGGGGAGGGGCTCCGCGTTCCTTACGTTTTTCACAGCTTGCCTCAGGTTTTCCTTCTGTTTTCGATGGGACATCGGAGTTCAACTCATGGAAGAAAAGGGGCCTCGTTCCTTACTTTTAGGGCTCCTTAGGTCAGCGCCCCGACTGTAGCGCCATCGGCACTTTTGGTCTCTACATCTTTCGGCTCCGCCATGCGACGAGCATCTTGCCTTGTATGCTGGGCAGCTCTTGATGAACCTTCGTCAGGAGAGGAAAAAACACACAGACACAATTAATCCTCGATTCCTCAGAAAATATGGGAAAATATGGGTAGTGGGGGGGAAGACAGAAACCCAGAAAATATGGGAAATATGGGGCATATTTTTATTTGTGTGTATTTATTTGTGTGTCCTGGGGCCCCTTCACTTCGGTGAGCAATTTCGCCTGGGGCGCTCGGAGTGGGGCGTGCCGCCCCCCCCCCCCCGGCAGGCCTCACCAGAGGGCGTTTGTGGCTAAAGGGGGGCCACCAGAGGGAGGGTCGGAAAAGGGGCCGGGGGTGGACAGACCTCCTACCCGGACACGTCGATTGAGGAATTGGCCGTTTTCGGTTCGCGAGAGGGCGTCGCGGCCGTCACTTTTGCGGGTCCAGGTCCGTCGGTTTCGGTCCCAGGCCGCTGTCACTAAGGGGAGGTTTACTAAAGGGAGGTTTGTCCACCGCCGAAGGGGCTAGGACAGGATTCAATCGTTCCAGAGAGTTCAGGAAGGCCCTCGGAGCGTTTTGGAGCGCTCTGAGAAGGCCGCGGCGCCCGACACACCGTCCAGAACCGCCGAAGCTCCGAGGTCCCCGATTTTGATCGCAGTGGTGTGTTGTCCGTGTCCTGGCCCTGCTTCTTCGGGGGACGGGAGAGGAGGGGAGCCTCCGAGACATCCGCCAGTCAGGGTTCGTTTCCCGCAGGCGGCTGTTCGACCTTGCCAGCGCAGAGCCAGACTGCCGGCGACGTCCGCCAGCCAGGGTCTCACTCCCCGCAGGCGGCTCTCTTCGTTCGGGGGTGGACAGAACCCCCCACAGTGACACGTCGATTAGTGAATTGTCCGTTTTCGGTTCTCGAGAGGGCGCCGCGGCCGTTATTTTCCAGGCTTGCGCCCGCCAGGTTTGGGCCCGAGGTCGTTTTCACTAAACCACGTTGCACTAAGGGAGGTCTGTCCATCCCCGATTCGTGCCAGTGCTGAGCCCCGAGCCGCAGCACCCGCCCCTGCCCAGTCTGGGCCCACGCGCGGCTCACAAGTCGCCGCGCAGGGCCGGCGCCTCTGCAGAGAGGGTGCTGGCGCCTCGCCCCCCACCAGAAGTGCGCCTCCCGCCGGAGCGCCGTTGCGCTTCCTCCCCTTTTCGACCCGATTTCGAGTTCGATGGATTCCGATTCCGATCCGATTCGACGTTGGTTTCCAATATGCGCTCCGATTTCTCAATGGAGGCCTACTAGCCTGCCGATGTCACCCGATGTCCACCGATTCGACACTCGGCTGCCGATTTCCGCCGTTCTGATTCACTTCGATCGCCGGTCCGACTTTTCGATCCGATTCTGGGCTCCTGCTTTTCTCCAGAGGGGCAGGGACCGGTGCTTCTCGCGAGTCCAGAGGCTGTCAGTGCTCTTGCTCGTCTGCCGGGGTCGATCTGGCCTGCTTGTCCCGGGGCGGCCCTGCTTGACTCGGAGGTGGATAGACCTCCTACCCTGACACGTCGATTAAGGAATTGGCCGTTTTTGGTTCGCGAGACGGCGTCGCGGCTGTCATTTTTGTAGGTGCAGGTCCGTCGGTTTCGGTCCCAGGCCGTTTTCACGAAGGGGAGGTTAACTAAAGGGAGGTTTGTCCACCGCCGACTGACAACCACGGAGGTCTGGGGCTGCCTCGACCGAGGGGAGATCTCCCCCTATCCATGCAGGGGTTGTGGCAGATCCGCGCGGTTTGTGGTCAGGGCGCCGGAAATGGTTGACTCTTCGGGCCCGTGATGGCGGGGCGCCCGCGTACGATTCAGATTTTGGTGCAGAGTGCACTTCGTGTATTTTTTGACAAGGGATGGTCGGGGGGTGTTGGCCTGCGCTCAGCAAGCAAGATGTCGGCACCCCTGCCGTCCCCATCAAAAAACCATGCGCAGTGCAAGTGGTCGCGGGGCGCCCGCGCGTTCTCAAGCTCTGGAGGTAAAGTGTATGGTTTCTCTGAAGGGATGGTGGGCGGGGTGGGGGGGCGCCTGGGTGCCCGCATTGGGTCCAGGTTGGCTGCTTCGCGGGTGGGGAAGACGGTGCTCATTAATAAGGGGACCCTTCCCCAGAGGGTAAGGCGGGGGGGTTGTTGAAGAGGAAAGAGAGATCTCGTTCGACCGAATTAGCGCAGAGGGCTGGTGGGATCGTGTAGGAGGGGATGAGGGAGGAGGAGAGGGGTAGAGGGGAGTGAAGAGAAGGAGGAGGGATGAGAGGGGAGCGACGAGTAGGAGAAGGGAGCAGGGGGAAACTGCAGGAGGTCTCAGGAGGAAGGAAAGGACGGTGGAGGGTGGAGGGTGCAGGGAAGTTCTAATTATAGTCAATTGTGTCTACAGCGTCGTCCTCCCCTGGGGAGGTCGCCTGCAGCACAAATCAGCGGTCGGGAGAGGCAATACCCGACCTCGGGGGGAGACCCCGCGAGAGGCCCGAGCGCACCCACTGGGCGGCAGCGAACGTGCTTCTTCCGTGCCCGAAGGGGATCGGCGGCTACGAGTCCCCCGCACCTCTCGCGCAGCAAGACGCACCTCAGCACCGCAAGCTTATATGAGACGGTTCGCGCAACTCCGCCATTGGGTGATCCACCGCGCCTCCACAGAGATCGGAGGTCCCCGGCGTGAGGAGGAGGAGGAGGAGGAGGCAGGAGGAGGAGGAGGAGGAGCAGGAGGCAGGAGGCAGGAGGAGGAGGAGGAGGGGGAGGAGGAGGAGGAGGAGGCATGAGGAGGAGGAGGAGGAGGAGGAGGAGGAGGAGGAGGAGGAGGAGGAGGAGGAGGAGGAGGAGGAGGAGGAGGAGGAGGAGGAGGAGGAGGGGGAGGAGGAGGAGGGAGGCGCGATTAGGAGGAGGAGGATGAAGAGACCAGAGTAAACCCAAGAGTCATCAACGGTGTTGGAGTGAACCCTCTTTCCAAGCTCCCTCTTTATAGGCCCCTACAACGGTTCATTTCCATTTATGGAACTACCTCGTTGGAAGACATCCGTCTGAAGCATGTCAAGACATTGTTCTTGGGATTCCAACGCCACGGATCAACCTTACAGTTGCGTCTTGACGATCCTGAATCGTGCCAGAACGCCATTCTAGGACGTCAACACAGAATTTACGTAACTGTTGCACCCGCATGCTCCTGAATCCTTCCCACACGCTATTTCTGGTACGTTGATGATGGGAATCCGTGAAACTCTTGCACATGTTTAATAAGCCGAACGTGCTCGGCGCTAAGGCGAGAGCCATATTTTGACCACCACCCGCCCTAAATCCGTGAAACTCTTGCACATTTTGAAAACGAATGTGCGCGGCGCTAAGGCGAGAGCCACATTTTGAAAACCACCCGCCCTCACTCCGTGAAACTCTTCGCGGCGCTAAGGCGAGAGCCACATTTTGAAAACCACCCGCCCTCCATATGTGTAGCCTTGGCCAATTTGTAACCTTCAGAGTCATAAGTGGTGAGGGAGTCCCAGGCGAAACGCCTGGGACCGCCCAGAAAACTAGCCTCGGGGTGCGACAGGAAGAAGTTATTTGAAAAGGAATTGAGGATGAGGAGGATGAGGATGAGGATGAAGATGAGGAGGAGGAGGAGAAAGACGGAGGAGGACGGAGGAGGAGGAGGAGGATGAGGAGGTGGAGGAGCTTCCTCTCCGCGGCTACCGGCCAATTAGCGTCGCGGTGGCTCGCTCGAGCTCACAACGTATCCGGCAAGCGTTTTCCTGCCCATTCCCCATACGTGGGCCGCGAGCTTGTTCCCAGCCCCTTCGCTGCGTTTCCCGCACTCGCGCGCAGGACCTGGGCGGCGCTTGGGCAGCGCCACGGCAGCATTCACGCAACCTTCCTGTGCCAACCACGCGCGCGGACTTCAACCACGGTGCCACCCACGCGCGCACTATTCTTCCTCCTGCTCCACCTCCACCTCCTCCTCCTCCTCCTCCTCCTCCATATCTCACGGACGGCTTGTTTGTCCCGCAGCACACGTGCATGATGTCCACACGACAGTTTGTACAGAGGCCACGGCCTCGCCCGCCTAGCATGCGACAGGCCCAGAGGAAGCCTTGCATGAGTGGCTCGCTCGCTCGCTCGCACGCTCGCTCGAGAGCGGAGGAGTTGGAGCGGGACGAGGGGGAGGGGCCACTGAGGGCTTGATGACTCCTCTCCAGCGGACCTGCGGGGACCAAGCCAGATAGATCGAGGGGAAACCAGGTAGATCCAGATACGTCCAGGTTGATCCAGAGATGTCCAGGTGAATTGGAGAAATCGTTGAAGCTCCAGCGCGAGTCGAGGGACCGCAGGAGTCTTAAGTCGGGCGTGTTCCTCTACAGGAGGAATATTCAGAAACAGCAAAGCATAGTCTGGGGAGTACGTTGCGAGTCTCTCCCTGGCTAGGTCCGAATCTGTTTCTTTGTTGGCTATGCCTATTTCTCCGCTGCAAATCCGTCGGAAGGGAGTGACACGCCCGGTCTGCGAGGAGTCGCTGCGCCCTCAACGAGGGGGACGATGGGGGCAGGAGGGAGCGAGAAGGGCGAGATTGGGGGAGGGGCATCGCGCCACGGAGAGGGCGAGGGGGGGGGAAACCAGTGGCGGGTTGGGGAGGCCAAGGGGGGGCACCAGCGGTGGGTTAAGGACATGCCCTCCTCCCTCCTCCCTCCCTCCCCCCCCTCCCCCTCCCCTCCCCCCTCCTCCCTCCTCCCTCTCCTCCCTCCTCCCTCCTCCCTCCTCCCCCCTCCCCCCTCGCCCCTCCCTCCTCCCTCCTCCCTCCTCCCTCCTCCCTCCTCCCTCGGGGGAGGAGGGGGGAGGTTTCAGTCGGGCGTGTCCATCTACTCAGGCGATCGCAGACATGGATCACGGGGGCGTGGATTAGCGACGGGTCCCGTCTCCATGGTAAAGTCGCGGATTCCCGCCGCCGAACGAGGCGGCACCGGTCGCATTTTGGGGAGGGCACCTCCCCTGATCCATGGATTTGGCGACGGCGCGCCAAATCCATGGATCGCTAGTCCATGTTTGCGCGCCCCCGAGGCCAAGGGGGGGCACGCGGAGTGGAGGAGCATGGGGGGAGGAGGGGGGGAGGTTTAAGTCCGGCGTGTCCCTCTACGGGAGGAGTAGTCAAAACATAAGCAACAAACAGTCTTCTTGGGACGATTTTCTGAATCTGTTTTACGTTATTTTTTGTATTTTGGAGTGTTTTTACTCTTTCGCCCAAAATCCGCCTGTAGAGGAACATGCCCGACCGAAGGGGAGGTGTGGAGAGGCAGGGCTTAACCTAAACGGTGTCCTGTCAGTGTCGTGGCCCGTTTTCGTCTCGACTGCGTTCGGACGCGCCGGCGGGGCGAAGACACAGCGAGGGCAACTGCGACGACAACGCGCACGCAGAAAACACGGTTCAGGTCGAGCCCTGCGGAGAGTGGAAGGGTCGGGAGAGGGGTGGTGTGGGGACGAGGAGGGGAGGGGGGAGGGGGGAGGGGGGGGGCAGGGGGGGGGGCGGTGCAGTGACACCATCGCACCGACAGGGGACACCCGCACCCACGGCGGCCAGAGTGCTGCCCCCGCGCTCCGGGGAGCATCTGGATGTGGATGTGCTCCCCCGAGCTGGCCCCGAGGTCCTGGCGCCGCGCCGGGCGCTCTCGCCCTGTTTCTCGGGCCCCGGGGGCCCTCACGGGTCAGTCTTGCTCGAGGAGTGCCGCAGGAGGACGGGATCAGGGGCCCCGGTCGTGAGTGCACCACGACTTTCAAGCGGGCTCGCAAGAGCCGCCATGAACTCGCCGTGGGATCGTGCCGCCGCGATTTTCCATGAGCAGTGCTTGCGTTGCACGTGGCCTTTGCTCTCTCCCTCCTCCCCCTCCCCCTCACCCTCTCCTTTTATCCCCCTCCTCCTCCGCGCCCTCCCGCCTTCCTTCCGCGCGCGCGCATGTGTGTGTGTGTGTGTGTGTGTGTGCGTGCGTGCGTGCGTGCGTGCGTGCGTGCGTGCGTGCGTGCGTGCGTGCGTGGGCGTGTGTGTGTGAATATATATATATATATGTATATATATATATATATATATATATGTGTGAATGTGTGTGTGTGTGAATGCGTGTGCTGATGTGTGTGTGAATGTGTGTGTGTGTGTGGCTATCTCCGCCTCCCCTGTCACCCGCCGTCCTTGCCGCACCAAGTGCGGCCAAATGCCACACCAACCTCGAAGCCAGCCCCTCTGCCGCCCCCCCCCCTCTGAGGACCCGGCCGCCAAGCTGCAGGGCAGCCTCCTCTGGCCGCCGCCGAGCGTCGAAGGCGCGGGCGCCCCGGGACGACACTGATTTCGAGGAGGAGGAGGAGGAGAAGGAGGAGGAGGAGGAGGAGGAGGAGGAGGAGCAGAAGGAGGAGGGGGAAGAGAAGGACGAGTGGGAGGGATAACACTACACTCTGAGGGTTCAAATCAGCTCAATGTCAAAATGGTTTTTTTTTCACGCTCGACCCCTGCCTGACCCTCAACGAGTGGGGAGGCGGAGAAGGAGGCGGAGAAGGAGGAGGCTGGATGGATGGATGGATGAGGTACTGGGGAAAAGGAGGATGACTAGGATGATGAGGAGGAGGAGGAGGCGGATGAGAAGGAGGAGGAGGAGGAGGAGGAGGAGGAGAAGGAGGAGGAGGAGGAGGAGGAGGAGCAGCAGGAGCAGGAGCAACAGGAGGAGGAGGAGTATGATGAGGAGGAGGAGCAGAAGGAGGAGGAGGAGGAGGAGGAGGAGGAGGAGGAGGAGGAGGAGGAGGAATGACACTACACTCTGAGGGTTCAAATCAGCTCAACGTCAAAATGGAGGAGGCGGCGAACGAGGAGTAGAATGAGGAGGCCGGATGGATGGATGAGGTACTGGGGATAATGAGGATGAATAGGATGAGGAGGACGAGGAGGAGGAGGAGGAGGCGGAGGAGGAGGAGGAGGAGGAGGAAGAGGAGGAGGAGGAGATGGATGTGGGGGAGGAGGAGGAGGGATAATACTACATTCTGAGGGTTCAAGTCAGCTCAACGTCAAAACGGAGGAGGAGGCGGAGAAGGAGGCGGAGAATGAGGAGGCCGGATGGATGGATGAGGTACTAGGGAGAAGGAGGATGAATAGGAGGAGGAGGAGGAAGAGGAGGAGGAGGAGGAGGAGGAGGAGGAGAAGAAGGAGGAGGGATACCACTACACTGAGGGTTCAAATCAGCTCAACGTCAAAATTTAGGAGGCGGAGAAGGAGGCGGAGAGGGAGGAGGCTGGATGGATGGATGAGGTACTGGGGAGGCAATTCGGCCCGACGTCTGCATGGCGCCGCAGTGCATCCGGGCGGGGCCGATCCGATCCGATCCGATCCGATTCCAACTCCGTGACCATGCGCCGCGATCCGATGCACGTTCCAATCCGACTCGGCTTCCCGGTCCGATGCTGACTCATCCTGCCGATCGGAGAGCTCTTCCCTGGGATCCGACGTCGGGCGGCAAGGGACCCCAGGCTTAAATCGGGCGTGGCCCTCTACAGGAGGACTCTCCAGAACTGATATGAAGAGCAGCCCGGGGACGATTTGTTATGACTATGTTTGATTCTTTGGTGACTGCGTTTTGACCATGTCCTGTTTCTCTACCAAGGCCCGCCTGCAGGAGGACATGCCCGACCGAACCCCCGGGCCCCACCTTCCTGCGACGTCCCTCGAGCTGGACCGGTTTTGTGGTGGCCCCGTGGGGCCAGAGGCAGGGCGAACTCGCCCCCTCTGCGACATAGCCGCGAGGCCATCGGGGGCCTCCTCCTCCTCTTCCTCCTCCTCCTCCTCCTCCTCCTCCTCCTCCTCCTCCTCCTCCTCCTCCTCCTCCTCCTCCTCCCCCTCCTCCCCCTCCTCCCCCTCCTCCCCGCCCCCTGCCACAGAGGGGTCCTTGCCCCTTGCTGCGCGCCTCCCCTCGCGGTGCAGCCATCCGCCCCCTGCGCGAGGGCCCCGCTCCCGCCCGGGGGTCAGCCAGAGCGCCCGATCTTACGGGATCCTGCAGGGCCAGGGTCGCATCGGCCCGGGTTTTGCGGCGCAGGATCCCGCAGGATCTCGCAGGACCCTTGGCGCTGATCCGGGTCTGGGTGTGCGGGATCTTGCAGGATTCTGCAAGGCCTGACCGACCCAGGTCGGGATTGGCCCGGGTCAGCAGATCCCCGAGGCCAGCATCTCAGGGTTCGGCCCCCGACCCAGAGTTCGGGGGCGGCAAAGGGGGGGGGCTGAGGACTAGGGAGGGGTGGATATCACGGCGTGGGCCCATGATCCTTAGTCAGACTTCATGGCGCCTCTTCTTATTTCACTACGTTCCTGGGCCCCCCCCTGGGCCGCGCACATGCCGCCGGCCATGATCTGCGCCCCCCCCTCTTGGGCGCCCCCCTGTTGGCCGCCCCCGAAGAGCGGATTGTGCTTGGGTCATGCCGCGGCCCCCGAGGTCCCGAGCCCCTCCCCAGGGACAGTTTCTCGGCCCGGATCCGTTTCTGCTGGCCCCTGCGCCCGAGAAGCCGCCCCGGGAGTCGGAAGCGAAGGCAAGCCAGCCGGGGCTCGGGCAACTCTTGTCGGCGATTCGGGGACGATCCGCGCACGAGAGCTCCTCCTCCTCCTCCTCCTCCTCCTGCTCCTCCTCCTCCTCCTCCTCCTCCTCCTCCTCTTCCTCCTCCTCCTCCTCCTCCTCCTCCTCCTCCTCCTCGTTCCTGGACCCCTGGCCAGTTTTTCACGCCACGTGGATTGATGGCCGTCCCCGAGCCCGAGAGCGGCGCCCACATTCGTACACCGAAAACACACATACTATTCAAGTGGCTTGCGCCATTCCGCCGGCCCCCCCTCAGGAGTGAGTGTCTGGGGTGCCTCTCGGGAACTCGGAGGGAGCCTCGTGGGAACCTCTTGGGGTGCTTCTCGAGAAGCTCTTGTCGGGGTTGGACAGACCTCCTACCCTGACGCGTCGATTAGTGAATTGTCCGTTTTCGGTTCTCGAGAGGGTGCCGCGGCCGTCATTTTCCAGGCTTGCGCCCGCCAGGTTTGGGCCCGAGGTCGTTTTCACTAAATCACGTTTTCCTAAAGGGAGGTCTGTCCATCCCCGATCTTGGAGCGCTTCTGGGGGCATCTTGGGGGGCCTTGGAGAGCTTCATGGAGGTCTCTTGGGGGCGTTTTTGGGGAGCCGCTCGGACGGCTTTGGGACTTTCTGTGGGCGCCTCTGAGGCTTCTGCTGGGCTCGTGGGCCCACCTAGGGGGCATCTGGGGGGATTTCTGGGGCCTCGTGGAGGCCTCTGGGGGGCTTCTTGGGGGCGTCTGGGGGGCCTCTCGGGACCTCTTGCAGGGGCCTCGGAGGCCACTGGGGGGGCTCGAGGGGCCATCTTGGTGGGAAAGGCTCGAAATGTCAGGTCGTATTCCCCCTCTTGGGCTTCCTTGGAGCCCTCTTGTGGCCCTCCAGGGGGGGCCCTGGGGCTGTCTTTAGGCCCTCTTGGGCCGTCTTGGGGTCCTCTTGGAGGCATCGTGGGCCTTCTTTGGACGATCTTGGGGGCCACTTGCGCCGTGCTGTTCGCTATCAAGGCGTACAATGCGCATGTGCCGGAAATGTACGTTTTTTTCAAATGTGATGGGATGATTTTGTTGGCCGCTTGGGGCCCTCTCGGCGATCCTCTCGAGGCGCTTTTGTTCTGTCTCGGGGGCCTCGTGGGCCATCTTCAAGCCATCTTGGATCGTCGTGGGGCTTCCACTGGCCGTCGTGTCGCTCTCTTCGACTGTATTGGCGCTCTCTCTGGGCTCTGTTGGGCTGTCATTGGGCCTCTTGGGGGCTTCAGAGGCTGCAGGGGTGCGCTGGCGAGCACGTGCCAGCCCCCCCCCCCCGAGAATGGCATTCTGGATCCCAGGGGAATGGGGGAAGGGGAAGGGGGACAGCCCACTGTCTCACACGCCTTTTTACGTCTTACCCCTGGCAAGCGAGGGTCGGCTGATCCTCTATCCTGCTGTTTTCCTCGTCCAGGCCGAGCGAACATTCCCCGTCAGGGCTCCTTGACACGGGGATTGACAAGCCGGCACATTCGCGCGCCCGAAAAATTGTAGCCATTGAAACATTCCGTAGGAGTGCTCTGTCCAGCTGGACTGTTCAGAGTCCTTATTTGCAGTGTCCTAGTTTCCTGCGGGCAGGAGCGAGGAGGAGGAGGAGGAGGAGGAGGAGGAGGAGGAGGAGGAGGAGGAGGAGGAGGAGGAGGAGGAGGAGGAGGAGGAGGAATAATAACAATATTAGCAGGAACAGGAGGACGGGGAGGAGGAGGAGGAGGAGGAGGAGGCCCTGAGCCCTCTGTCCTCCTGACCCCAGCAGGCCGCGAGTCGTCGCCGCCGCCGCCGCCGCCGCCCCAGCAGGCCGCGCGGAGGCCCTGCGGAGCCCGGGGCGCTGGCGGCAGCCGCGCCTGCGGCCGCCCTGCCCGGCCGCGGCCGGGCCGCGCGGCGCGGCGGCCGAGGGCCCCGCGGGCGGCGCCGCCGCGGGGGCGAGCGCCGAGAGGCGCCGGGGGGGCAGGCAGACGCCAGCTCCTCTCCTCCTCCTCCTCCTCCTCCTCCTCCTCCTCCTCCTCCTCCTCCTCCTCCTCCTCCTCCTCCTCCTCCTCCTCCTCCTCCTCCTCAAGGTGAGAAGCGCGGGAAAGAGCCCACAGAGCGCCTCGAGGGGGGGCAGGCGAGAGCGACGCCCAAGAAGCGGGGTCGTCTGCGCCGACATTGGCGCGCAAGCTGCCCGCGTGAGGTCGCGCGTCGGCGCCCTGGTCTCCGATGTGGCGTGCCGCGACGGCGGCCGCGTAAGCCGCCGCGAAAGGTCGCTGCGTCATCTCGCGTAGGATCCCTTTTTGATCGTCACTCAAGGGAGAGAATCGAAGAGGAAATAAAGCCACAATCATACACTTTGAGCGCTCCGCTCGGATTTCTCGGATCTATGCCGGAGCTCCCTGGCAGCGCCTCCGGCGCCGCCCCTGGCGCGCTCCGCGCGCCATGGAGGGGGTCCAGCGCAGATCCAAGAAATCTGCGCAGATCGCCCCAAAAAATGTTTATGGCGTTTTTCCTTCTAGGGGACCCCTCGGGTCACGACAAAATCACGACGGAAGTCTTTCCGTATTTTCGACCTTTGGGGGCCCTCACCGGGCCTCGGGGCCGTTCAAAACCGGCCCAGGATGGAAACTCGGTCCTGGGAAAGGCTCCAAACCTCTGGGGGTCGACTTTCTGACACAAATCATAGCATCGGCGGTCCTGGGCTTCTCAGAGGGCCTCCAGCTTTCTGAGAGGTTTTCTGTGTCTCCAGGGGATGCTTCGAAGACTTCTCAGAGGGGGGGACTTCCGAGCCTTCCTGGAAGCTCCTAGGCCCGCTCCTTCTCACTTCCCCCCCGTGCAGGCGTCCCTGGCCCGAGGTGTCCCCAGGTGTCCGGAGAGGGCCCAAATGATCTACGGAGCACCGCTCACGAGGCCCGGAAGGCCCCAGGGGCTCCAAGATCCCGCGGCAGGCTGGGGATGCATGGGCTAGGACCACTTCTGGCAACACCCGATCCTCGGGTTGTGAAGGACCGGGGAAACGCCAGACTCGAGTACGCTTAGGTCGGGCCTGTCCCCCTACAGGGGGATTTTCGACGAAAAATAGAAAATACCCCAAAGATGCCCCAAAAAGGTAAAAAAATACAAACAAAAATAGTCCCCAGAGTATTTTGGATAATTTTTGGATTATTTTTGGGGTATTTCTAATGTTCCGTTGGAAATCCCCTTGTAGGGGGGCAGGCCCGAGTTCAGAGTACGCTGGAACTCGGGTTTGCCGACGCCTTTCGACGATCGTGTCCTGGATTTTGGCGCCCCAGTTTCCGTTGGGATGTCTGCAGCGAGAGATCGCGCCGAATTTCAGACTGGGCCTCGCCAATTTCTCCTGCTCGCCCCGTCAGGCCAGCCCGAGCCCCCCGAACCCCACCACCCACCAGACCACCCCAACCCTGCCCGAAGGCTCAGGTTTACCCTCGATCTCCAGTGGGGGGGGGGGGGGGTCGGGCAACGTCGAAACAAAAACACGTGGAACCCTTACCCCCCCCCCCCAACCCGAAATTCGGGTCTTCGGGTGGGGTTGGGGTGGTCCTGGCAGGTGGTCAGCACCCGAGCCCCACGCCCCCCCCGAACCGGGGCGCGGCGCGCTCCGTGGCCTCCAAAACGGCCTCCGTGGCTTCCGGGAGCTCCGTCTTATAGCAGCCGCGGGCTTGCGAGCCGTCGCCCGGCTTCTAAGACGCAGCGACGGCGACGGCGACGCAGGCGACGGCGACGCAGGCGACGGCGCTGGCGACGGCGGCGGCGGCCGCGACGGCGACTCTCCCCGGCGCCGCCTCCCGGGAGGCCGGCAGCCTGCTGTCGAGAAACCTCTCGGCGTGACGAGCCAGTCCCCGGCAAGGGGTCCCTACGGGGGCCCATGTCATGAATCGCCGAGCGCGTTCCACTACAGTCAAGCCGCACAGCATCGAAGAAGATCAATACGCAATAAGATTGCACTTCTGGCGCTCCGAGCGGTTGGATCGGCGCATGGGCCCCCCTGGCGGCGCCTCCGGCGCCGCCCCTGGCGCGCTCTCCGCTCGCAGGGCAGGGGGGTCGGCGCGGATCCAAGAAATCCGCGCAGACCTCCAACAATTTTTGAATCTGTGGTTGTTCGTGCCTCCAGAAGCACCGAGCGCGCTCCACTGCAGTCAACCCGCACAGTGAGGATGGGGTGCCCTTGCATCCTTGCCTCCTCGGTCCATCCTTGGCCACTTTCGCTGGCCGCGCTCCGCTCGAAAAGCTTGGAAATGGCTTTCCAAGGCCCTTGCATCCTTATCGTGCATCCTTCGCAAAGTGTCTACTCGCAAACGTCGCCTGGGAGGCTCCCAAATCGCCCCACAACCATCCGAAAGGGCTTCCAGGCAGTCCAGGAGAGCCCCAAAACGGCACGACACGGGTCCAAGATGGCCCTCAGAGAGCCATGGCGGCCCAAGATGGCCCCAAGACACCCTCCGAAGCATTCCAAATCGTGACTGGTCGTTCAGGGAGACCGCGGTTGGAGGCAGGGTGGCCCGAGGAAGCCCCCAGAGGCCCCCAGAATACGCCCAGGAGGCCTCTAGAAGGCCTTAAGAAAGCCTGAAACAACATTTGTGAGGCCCCTGGAGGCTCTCCAAGGAGGAGCCTCCGCGAAAAAGAGCTGTGGAGGATGGGGAGAATGCGCAGGGTATGGCGAAAATGAGGAAACAAACATGGAGGAAGGATAACGAAAAAACATTTCTATAGCGACGATGCCGGAAAAGGCAACAAGGAGTTTATCGCTAAATTGTCGGCTTCACCATTCTGCTATTCCGTCTGCATGTCACACTTCAAGGACCAAGGTGCATGGCGCGAAGCGCCACTGCAGTCGTGTGTATATATAGATATATGCATATATATATATATATAAATGTCTTCTTCTATGTAACGTATTGTGAATCCCCCGAGGCAGATCCAGGCCATGTGCGAGTAGAAGGTTGCGAGTAGTGGAACGCGCTTGTGCGATGAAGAAGGGCGTCTTCGGGCGACGACATCTGTACATATCCACTTCTTGCTGGTCAGGCCCATCTTGAGTCCTGGAGCTGTGCATGAGCCCTCCTGGCCGAGCCTGGAGGGCGTGGCACATACACCGCTGCTGGATTCAGGACGGGCCTGGCCAGGGAGCAGCGGCTGTGCATGGATTTCGTCGCCCTCGGTCTGGGGCCTCGATTTCGGCCTCCCCGGCCCGCCAGTGGACCCGGGGGCCATCGAGGATGATCCGGGGCGCAAAAGTTTGGAGGTGGACAGACCTCCTACCCTGACACGTCGATTAAGGAATTGGCCGTTCTCGGTTCGCGAGAGGGCGTCGCGGCCGTCATTCTTGCGGGTCCAGGTCCGTCGGTTTCGGTCCCAGGCCGTTTTCACTAAGGGGAGGTTTACTAGAGGGGGGTTTGTCCACCGCCGAAGAGTGGCCTGGGGGAAGGGGTCGGATTGCCTCTGGGGCTGTGCGCATGGAACCCACTGTCTCGGCGGATGCCTGGGCCGCCCAATCGGGGTCCGAGTGGACGGGTTCGGAGGCTCGCGCGCCGAGTCGCTGAGGCACCGGCCGTGCGGCCGGATGCGGAGCCCGGTTTTCTCAAAGCCGACGTCGACGATGCACAGCCGAAGCATGGGCGATGCGGCGCGATCCCCTGACCCCGCATGCTCTGCTTCCATCTCGAGCGGCGCCATAGAGAACGAGGTCGTCTGCGCCGACACGGGCGGGCGAGCTTCCCGCGTGAGGTCGTGCGTGCGTGCCCTCGCTTCCGATGCGTGCCGCGCCGGCGGCCCGCGTAAGCCGTGGCGTCAGGTCGCAATGCCATCTCGCGCAAGACCCGTTTCTTGTCGTTTTGAGCATGGACCGACCGTCCTGGCATTCCTATAGTCCTACCACGAAATGTTCTTAGAACCAGAACTGTTCCACGAGCAAAAACAATATTCTTAGAACATTGACCCGATGTGACAAACCAGGGCAGCCTCCATCAGACATCTTCTAAGAACATTTCGTGCAAACCACAGGAGGTTCTTCGAGCATCCTTTGGTGGGCCTATAGGCGAGTCGGGACGCTTCGCCACTGCTTGACTCGTTGCCCGCTTGGGAGGCCGACGGGCGCAGAGCGCCAGTGACGCGCGCGCCGTCTCTCCGGCTGTGCCTGCCGGGCCGGCCCTCGCGAGGCCTCCGTGGGCTGGCGGCAGGATGCGGACTCCCCGAGAGGTGCCCGGTCACCCCGCCCTCGGCGGAGGCCTCCACCGGGACCATGCCCACGCCGCAGGCGGAGGGGAGGCCGCTCATCTCGAGGAGAAGAAACGACACGGGCGTAACCTTCCGGGGGTGTGCGTCGAACTCTCGAGTCGGCGCCGGATCCGCCTGGCGGGAGCTCTGGCGCCGCTCCCGGAGCGCGCCAGGGAAGAGGGGTCCGCCGCCGATCCAAGGTGGCCGCGCGGACCTCCGGAAGGTTATGCTTGGGCCGTTTTTTGTTCCTGTGTTATCTCGAGTCGGACGATGGGGTTGGGGATCAGGGAATGTGACCCGATGTAGACCGCATGTGGGCCCTATGTCGGGTAGCCCGACCCCAAAAGGAACAAAGGCGGATACCCGAACAACATAAAAACAATCATGTTGCCCAATGTCTGGTCTGCCCAGGAACCAGTCCGAGTTCTAAAGGGCCGTCAGACATGCAGCGAGGGCGAAGCGCGAAGAGGACGGAGGAACGAGAGGCGGAGGAAGGGCGGAAATTGAAAAGGGAGGAGGGGAGGGAGGAAACACAGCAGCAGACGACGCGGACGACAAGGCGAGAGAGAGAGAGAGAGAGGAAGAAAAGGCTGCTGGAAAGGGGGGGGGCCAGGGGGGAGGGGAAAAGTGAAGGAGGAGGAGGAGGAGCAGGAGGAGGAGGAGGAGGAGAAGGAGGAAGGAGAGGGAGGAGGAGGAGGAGGAGGAAGAGGAGGAGGAGGAGGATGAGGAGGAGGAGGAGGAGACACGGCGGAGGAAGACGCCGCCGCCGAAGAAGAAGACGACGAGGCAGACTCTTAGATCACGCACCCCCAGCATGGCGATTTTTCCTTAGAGAGCTGAAGGTGCCAACGCAAAGTGAATCAGAGCATCGGCAAAGCTTGGACTAACACTTCGTTGTCGGCGTCCAGCGGAGAAAGCGGGAAACGAAACGTAGGTTATGGCGGGTGTTCTTCACCCAAGAAAGCTAAGGACGGCGTTTTGAGCAATCCGAGAACCTCAGAATTTGTATGAAAACGCCGAGGGCGAAGATTTGCGCAGACGCGCAAACCCGCGTCGGGCAAGCAATCTGTGAATGGCGTCACGCAGCAACTATTTTGAATCGAGTTGCGCGACTAAAGTCTTGAAGTTTCCACCCGCTGGCCGGAATCGTAATTCTATGCGTTGGCCCCCCTTGCTGCCATCAATTTGGACGCGGCTGACGCGCCCCCTCTCGTGGAGCAAGGTCTGGCAAGCAGCTGTTCAATCCAACACCGCAGCGTGCCTGAGATCGGCAGTGGCCTCCTGAAGCGCATTGATGTTATATGTGAGGATGATATCGTCGAAAACGGCGGCCGAATTACCAGACGCGAATCGGCGAACCTCGCCAATTCGGGGGGCCTACGGTTGCGAATTGGTGCACCATATTGTCCGTGGGTACCACCGTGGAGGCATGGCCGAGCACAATGACCAGGGCAGTTCGTGGAGCTAGCCAGCTTTCCAGCACTGCGCACATCGATGGGTGGCAATAACAACCAGTTGAGCTTGGCAATGATGGGACAAGGAGGAAGAGAGAAAAACAGGAGGAAGAGGACAAGGAGGGGGAGGACGGAGGGATAAGATGGCGGAGGAGGAGGATGAGGAGGAGGAGGATGAGGAGGAGGATGAGGAGGAGGCGGAGGACAAGGAACAAGGGAAACCGAAGGGGGAGGACAAGGGATGAGGAAGTGGAGGAGGATGAGGGGGATGAGGACGCGAGGAGGAGGAGGAGGAGGAAGAGGAGGAGGAGGAGGAGGAGGAGGAGGAGGAGGAGAAGGAGGAGGAGAGAGAAGAGAGGAGGAGGAGGAGGGGGAGGGGGGGGGGAGGGGACGAGGATGATGAGGAGGAGGACGGTAGAGGGAAACAATTACTGAACACTCTCCCTCCCCCCCCAAACTCCATGTTGGCACGCGCGGGGGAGACTGCGGTCGAAGTGCATCTCGTCAGACCCACCGACAACTTTGAACATTGGGGGGAATGGGAGGCGTTGACTGATGAATGTGGCATGAGTGTTCGCTAATTTGTTCCGAGGCCTGGAGGAGGGGGAGGAGGAGGAGGAGGAGGAGGAGGAGGAGGAGGAGGAGGTGGAGGAGTTGGAGGAGGACGCGAGGAGGATGCGATGAGGAACAGGAGGAGGAGGAGGCGGACGCGAGGAGGACGCGAGGGGGACGCTAGGAGGACGCTAGGAGGACGCGAGGAGGACGCGAGGAGGAGGAGGACGAGGAGAATGAAGAGGAGGATGAGGAAGAGGAAGAGGAATAATAATAAACAGACGAAGAAAACGAATCACATCAATAAGAGTATTATTTATAATCAAATATAGACATTATTTTCATGGTGATTAATAATAACATAGTACTACTCATACTAAGCATTCTAATAAGAAGGATATACATAATCATAGTAAGACTAATAATTCGAAGAAGTAGAAGAAGAGGAGGCGGAGGAAGAGGAGGAGGCGGAGGAGCAGGAGGAGGAGGATGAGGCGGAGAATATGACGACGACACCGACTCGACCCGGAGGCTTCCGAAAGGGCTCTGGCATTGTGGTGCATACAGGCATTGGGGTATTGAGGGACCAACTGTGGCCGCTGCTACAGCAGCTGGTGGTGCACAAAGCCGCCCTTGTGCGCATGCATTGTGGTGAGCGCAGGCGCTGTGGTGCATGCGGGCACTGTGTTGTGCACGCGGGCTGCAGTGCACATGGTTGTCGTGGTGTGCGCAAGCGTTGCGTCGTGCGCAGTCGTTGTTGCGCAGGTGGCTCGTCTTTTACGTGTGCTCCCATGATGTTTACGTTTTTCTGAGAAGCGCCGAACGTAAAGCTGCGTGCGATCCCTGGAGATGGAGTTTCTGTAAGTTCTCCTTCCGTGTGCTGGCTCTCTGGAGGTCGCCCAGGGGAAGGCCGGATGACCTACCGAGACCTAACTAAGGGGTGCCACGGGGAAGGGCTGGGATGACGTACCAGGGTCTCAGTAGCCGGCGATCCACTATCCCCCACTTCATAACCTTGGGCATCCAGCGAATTCTTACGCAGACAAGGCGTTTGACGAATTCTGCGCCGGTGCACTCGACATTCGCATGCCGGCGCACTCCACCCTCGGTTTCGCTCATCGACGTGCGGTTAAGTATTCCGCCTGGGTGCACTCGGAAAGTGGTACCGCGCTCACACGTGGGTGCCCCCTGGTAGATTGAACCAGAAGCGCGTTTTGTTAACACTTGGTATCGCTTGGACGTGTGTACTTTTTCTCGGCGGGGATTATTCAGGAGCATCCTGGATCATCCTGCGAAAAAAACCAGGCACGAAACCGAAAAAAACACAGGGAATGGACGTCCGAGCGATGGCCAGAACAGGGTTCTGTCGGCACCGTCCAAGCATACGGATACTATGCGCACGTCGGCCGGGCAAGGGCGGCTCGCACGCTTTGACATCTTACAGTGCAAGCCCCGTTGCGGACGCTTCCTGGCCATACCGCTCGGGAGACGGTCTACGACAAGATGTTGTGCTACAAGTTCGGTTCGGACGCGCCCCAACAGAAAGGCATATTCTAAGTATGTTTTTGTTGTGCTCCATTCTGCCTTCCTCTGTATCCCTCCGCCTTCGTCCGACCCGATCGTCTGCTCCCTGGCCACCAGCCCGTCGGGCAGCGGCAGCTGCTTGGAGGACATCCGATAAGAACAAATTCACAGGTACTTACTTGTCGTTGTCGTCGCCGTCGGCGTCGTCATCGTCGCCGTCGCCGTCGCCATCGTCTCGTCGTCGTGGTCGTTGTCGTTGTCGTCGTCGTCGTCGTTGCTTTCAGAGGTCCGTGCGGATTCCTTGGATCGGCGTTTTTTTTCAGTACGGGTGCTTTTCCTCGATGTCTGCCTTCGGGGGCCCTTTTCTTGGGCCCCGGAGCCATCAAACATGGATCCAGGGAATGGCATCGGCCCCTGGGGAAGAGGTTGGCACCTCAGGGGCCGCCCATTGAAAAAACATGCCTTCCCTGGCGCGGATCGCGCCAGGGGCGGCGGCATTCCGGCGCCGATCCAAGCACCAGAGGCCAAGAACAGATGGAACCAAAGTCAACAACACATGAACACGTATGTGAACGTTTTTTGATTCATTGTCTTGCCGATTGGCGCGGGTTTTCGCACCCCTCCTCCCCCCCATGGAGTAGATCCTGGCTGCTTTTGGCGCCTGCTTTCAGCAGGCGGAGCCACCCCCACAGGATGCACGGCTGTTAGCAGTCGCCTGAAGTAGAGGTCCGGAACCATAGGGGAACGAACAATGATATACACCTAAAAACGCAGAGGTCCGCGCGAACTTCTCGGATCCGCGCGGGACCCCCCTGGCGGCGCCTCCGTCGCCGCCCCTGGCGCGTTCTGCGCGCCGTGGAGAGGGGGGTCCAGCGCGAATCCGAGAAATCCGTGTGGACCTCCGAGTCTTTATGTTCGTATTTTTTGTTGTCCCCCCAAACCAGGCCCCTTTTTTCAGAGCGTGAATTCCCTACCCCGCTTTCGCTTCCAGGCAAAACCAAGTCATACCATACGCCTCCTCGTCAAGCGGCCTGACCAGTACAGGCTGCAATTTGGCATCGTTTGGTATCTCTTGGAAGCGAGGGTGGTCAAAAGCGAGGTAGGTTTGTTTTCCCCCTATTTTTGCCAGAGTCGAAACGCCGAGGCCGAAAGCCTCCACCGTGCGGTCGGCTTCGGCCGGCGCCTGGCGCCCGGACGCGGCCGCCCGGGCACGGCGGAGCCGCGGGGGGCGCGCCGCGCACGCCCTGCCTCTGCTCGGGCGGAGGGGGCCTTCGCGCGGGCCTCCGAGGGGTCTCCGCGTGCCGTGCGCCGCGCTTTCCCCCCGAGCCTCGGCGTGAGAGTCAAGCAGTGGCGAAGCGTCCTGGCTCCCCTATAGCCCCACCAAACAATGTTCTCAGAGCCTCCTGTGGCTTCCACAAGGTGTTCTTCGAGCATTTCTGGTTGGGACTGTCTTGGTTTCACACATCGGGTGAATGTTCCAAGAACATGGTTCTTGTTCTTAGAACATCTT